AACTTGGAGAACCATTACTGCGTTCCTTTTTTCGAACAGCGTTTTAAGAGCATGCCCAGCACATGGACGGCCTGACTCCATACTTCAGTCAGATCAGCGTGTACGAGTTTACATACGCTGCTGGCTGAAAACCTGCGCCTACGCTACCAGAAGTACCTATAAATCGTTTTCTTCGATAGATTCCAGCGACCAAAGGGTAATGTAAGACCGCACCTTGGCGCTGATCCTGGATTAGCATGTCATTTGGTCAGGAAACGTAGCATCTGCCCATGGGGTGGGCGCAAGACGGCCTAACGCCGCCGCGCCCTTAAATCCCAAACCACCCTCATATCTGCCTGGTATGAGGTCAGAAAAAACGTTATTTTACACTCAAATTGCAGCCACGGACCTCACTGCCACATGTCCAGCAACAATGGCCGTGCCCAGCCGTCAGACGTGTCTCTACGGAGCGTAGCGCCGCACGAAGACCCATGCCGCCGAAAGCTATCCAGCATGCCTCCACATCGGCCGGACGACTCACGCAAGTTGGCGCAGAAGCGAGACATGAAGTCGCCGGTGGTGATCATCTCGACGTTCGTGTCGAGCGCCTTCAGGATCAGCTTGAAACAGCGGCCGATCTCCTTCTTGCTAATCTTGCTGACAGCGCAGATCTCCTGAAAGACAGCCGACCAGGTCAGCCGTCCATAGCAACATCGAAAGACGGGCCACGCCCCGTGGCTGAAGAAGCACGACTCCAGCCGCGGCGAGTCATCACCAGCAGAGGCCTGATCTAAGCGCGCCTGGTGAAGCAAGACGGGTCAATATGCAAGAAACCGTCGCCATCTCAAGCCTGATTCGCACAGCCTGGCGAATGACGCCCACACCACCTGCGCCATAGCGGCGGGTCCCCGACACAAAAGACGCCAGCCCGCCCACACCGGCAGCCGGGCACCGCCGCTCCGGACCCGCTGTTCCCTCCAGCGGCCGCCGACTCCCTCACCGACGCCGCGCACTGACCTTGAACGTGCGCGGCACACCCTCCTGCCGGCACGAGATGTAGAGGCAGGCCGAGGCGATGGCGTCGTTGGCGCGCCCCTTGAGGTTACGGCCGTCGTGCACCTGCTTGAACAGGTTGTTGGAGCGGTCGACGATGGTGCGCGGCAGGCTGATCCGATCGGCCATCAGCGCGATCTCGCGGAAGGCGTTCGTCAGCGCCCGGTCCGAGCTGCTCATCTGACCACGGCAGGATGGGCGGCGAGTCAAGGCGAGCTCGGCGCCGCCACCGGTCAACGTGCCGTCGGCAGGGCTGGCCACTGGCGCGCACCGCGAAAGGATTTGCCGAGCCACCCACTCCGGGCGTCGGCACGTTTGATGGGATTGGTGGCAAATTGAATGATAAGCTCTTTCTTTCACTTGCACAGGTGATGCACCTGATATTCGGCAGATACGGCATTAGGAAATCAGCTGGGTAACCAACAGAAGCTGTCAACACCTTAAACAATGAGTGAAGCCTCGCGCAGTATTAGGTATTACAGACGGATCTGTCATTATCCAAATTTGCTATTTCCGGCGCTACTCGACAGCACTAATGCCACCAACCTTTCCAGCATACTCGGATCAGTCACAAACTTATGCCAGCACCATTTCCGGCATACAAAGATCACTCATAAACAAATTCCAGCACCATTTCGGGCACACGGATCAGTCATCTTTCGTAGATAACTCGATATCCTACGAGTCGAAACGTTAACCTCAGTGCGTTGAACCAAAGTAACCTACGGCCAGCTCTGGCCCCTCTGACGTATCACTGATGCCACAAGCTGAACTGAGCTGCGTCTGGCACCTGCACCTGAACTGACCTGGCTTAGTGACCTGAACTGATTCTGTGACCAGAACTAACTAACTGCCGGTTCTGTCGCTTGGACCGACCCACCACCAGCTGCGGTATCTAGACTGACTCACGGATTTCCCCGGCATTTGCAGAGCTTGCTGCCGGCGGTTCTGCGGGCTGCACTGACCTGGCGCCGGTTCTGGTACTTGGACTGGCCGTCGGCGGTGAAGGAGGCGGCGCCGCGGGCGTCTCCGATCACGGTGCTCAGGTCAGAGCTGCCCAGCAGCTTGTTTTCGGTGCCGCCCACACGCGACGGGTCGGCCGCGTTCTTGTCGTTGCTGAACGTGCGCCATTCTGAGCCCACGTCAATGACCCTGCCGATGACGTCATCGGTGACGACCATGCGTTCATGACCAGTGCTCGCTTCTTGGACATACAGCGCAATCACGGCTGTGGACGCGTCCCAATCATCCCCGTTTTTTCCCGCATCTATTCTGCACCTGCACATATACCCCTGCACTGTTCATCTGGGAGGGTCCTGCAAACAGCACAAAATGCGCGACGAGTCCACTATGAATCATATGAATCATATGCTGGTGAATCTTAATGCTAGCACAATACCAAGCTGAATAGGTGACCATCCAGCAATCACGAGGTCAAGCCTACCGCACCACACACTGAGACATGCATGACAAAACAAGTCAGCAGCCAAAACCACTCCAAAGTTCAGCACCCCAATCCGTAAACGAAGGCGGACCGGGGACCCGTTCCTGGTGTTCCGGCCGCCCGCGCACTGGCAGGCAGGGGACCTGTCCCAGGTGTCTGGGCCTGCCCGTGTACTAGCGGGCCGCCCGCCTGCGCCCACCAGGGCCGGTGCGAGGCGGCTCGCGGCCGCAGCCCGGTCACCTGTCGCCGACGACGAGGCCACACTCGGAGCAGATCTGGTCGCCGGCGCGGTAGTCCTCGATCAGATGGGCCTCCGGGTGCGCCGGGCACCCGATCTGCTTCACCTTCCGCCTGTCGAACACCCGCGCGCACCGTTAGCCATCGCGGTAGGCCACACATCACAGTCACTAATCAGCTAATGGGTGGTGGCACATGCAGTGCTTTGTCAAAAGGATGTGACCTCCCAACAATATATCCATTATAAGGAGCTAGAAAAATAAAAGAACTGATGTTTTTCATACTCTAAAATGCTGTTACAAGAACATGTGAGGCAATCAGAAAAGGGATGACAAAATGCTGCATTACTTCCAAAATTTGTGAGATATATTTCCCTTCTGGTTAGGCTTCAATTACAATTTGGAGAATTTCATAACATACTTCAATGATTACTGGACATCTTCCTTTAACCAGCACATCCTGGTATCCTAATGGCCTGCTTGTTTTATCCTGGAACTCAAAAGTCCAAATACATTGTTACTTAAAATAGCATTACAGATACACAAGAAAAACAGTTGCACAGGTAACAGGCACAGGGCATCGGACATCTTACAAGTAAAGAAATGGCAATGGACAGTGACTTTGTGTACAGCGTGTTGATCTGATTCAATGAGCCACAGGGGAAACCACTAGCATGTACTCTACGTACTTACCCACTTGAAGATGCCATTTAACAATCAGGAAAAAGCTCTTGTACCTGCAAGACATCACATTGTCGATGGTGACTCTGTTCATAGATGATTATCATCTCAAAACTCATTGAAACTTTACCCTAATACCACCCTCCCACTCTAGCCATGCTTGTAACTGAATTAACTCAACTTACTCTACACTCTATTCCTATCCCAAATCCTAGATACGAAAGAAACAACTTGCAGATCATGGTAACACATTCTTATGACATTATCAACAGCAAATGACAAACCATGGAAGACAATATCTAACATCAAACCAACAGAGGGAAAGCAGGAAAGAAGTAATAACTGTGATGCATTTTAGATCCATAATTCAATTTTGGGGCATAGAGATAATGCCTCAATGAGCTATGATGTTGCAAAGGCAATTTCAGTCACACAGCCTCAAAGCAAAGCATCATGTATGGAAAATCCAGGGCAGTTTGGCCTGGTCTGACTTCAGCATAGGTGAACATGGATTGAGCATACCATGTCATATGGGCATCTGGTACAGTGGATTATCTTATTAGCAGACTGGCTCATGTTAAGTAATTCACTTATTCATGATCTTATTATACAACATATTTTCAGTACAAAGTGAGGATGCTCATAAATATTAATCTTAACCAGTGCAAGAACATCAATAAGGTGCAACCTTAAACAACCAGAATGAGCAATTTTGGCACACAGCACAACACAACACAAAATATGATATCTATGCACCAGACAGACCTTCCGCCCTGCCACAGCCATAACAAGTTCCCATCCATTCTCATGGCCTTGTGCCAGAAGGCATTTTCTCCTAGAACGTGAGCCACTTGAACATACAAAGAATGCAATAAGATGTAATTTACCTCTGAGAAGATTTGGGACGGCGCTTTTCGCAACTGGGGCACAACACACCTCCTGCCTTTGGATTTAATGGGATCAAAGACAGTCTTCCATCCGCTTCATGCAATGAAACACAACAGTAATTAACCTCTCGCCGTTTTGAGCCCCACTTGAAATCAAATGGGCAGTACCGTCCCAGGCTGACCCACTACGTCCCTCCCGCAATGCCCCAGTCCAAAGCAATGCCTAACGCAACATGGTGTGCAATGTGCGCATGCGCAGAATGTCAACAGCTGACAAAGGCACAATAGCGTTTTTGTTCATGGCTCTTTCCCGGCTTGTTAAAAAAAGTGCATGTGAGTGGTGAATAAATACTTTTTGGAGTTGAATGAGTTGATTTTCAGACGAAGATGCCACAACCAAGGCTGAAAAGGTATCATGGAGTTGAACAAAAGGCGGTATTATACAATTACGTCATTTTTCGTCGTACTGGACTGACAAATTGTGATCTATATTCTGTTGTTATACATTATAAGCTGCTGACAGCTAAAATCGAGTCGGTTAAGTAAAACAAAATGAAGTACAAATTTCACATCGTTTCAAATGATTCTATTTGGGGCAGATGCTAGGAGAAATAGTATGGGAACGAAATGACGTCATCAACTTTATTTGCCTCATTCGTCTGCTTACAACTGGCGCATAAGAGACAATGTTAGATGTTACTTAGCATTCTTGGCGTTTATGATTTCTGTCATGTGTTGGCAGCAATGTGGCCTGGTTTGGGTGGTCTACTAGGTGGTTGGTCTGCGCAATAAGCCACTCTAAATTGCGCCGAATGAGGTAGGTGGTTTTCAGCCATAATTTCAAATGAACAGTTTGCAAGCGCCGAGGACCTTGCATTACATGTTGGGCCGCCAGCACCTCATCTTACAATTACGGCTCGGAACTATGTACTTGCATCTGGCCATGCACGGGATACTATGTAATTTTTTATACAATGTGTCATCTTATTCTATCATTTCGTTTTTCTGTCATTGAGGTTCACAAAAACACCGGACAATACCTTTCCTTAACATGCCTTACCCCAAGTTAAATGTCTAGGTCTGTCTGACTTACTTCATCTTATCAAAATAGATCTAGATTTATTTTTCCTTCTTGTGTCAGGTATTTGGTCATATTTTTGTGGCACTTGGTTGCTTTGTTGGACTGTATTTATTGCTTTTTATGTTTGTCACATGATGCCAGACAACCGGGATGAATTGGGTTAATTGTGTTAATAGTGAGCAATTTTTAGTGTATTCCACACCATCTTACAAAAATTATAACAAACACTGATTTTTAACAGGCATGGGGCATACATTTAATGTCCTCCTCCCCTATGCTGTTTGAAGCACATGAACAAGATGTGTGGAGCTTTCTCAGCATTATCTCAAAGTCACCAGGAGAGTGCTGCACTTGGGGCAGTGTGGCATCCTATGTATCAGTTATATTGTATTCTCAGTGGAAGCTGTAAATAACTGTACAAGAGTACCCAAATGATGCTTATGAGGCATGATCACAGCAAAATCAGTGCACCTTACACCTTAACATAATCAACACTTGGCATGGAGTGCACATCCCTATGCAATGGTTTATTATATCATGTGCACTTGAAATGAAGTGTGTCTAAGATGCTGAACATATATCAAATTACCTGAATGCCATGTATGCATGGGGACTATATATTGACTGGCAATGGTGTATCCATTTTAAGTGTGGTCCAGGATTGATGAGCCTTTAAAAAGCATCTACTTTTTATTTTGCATGCATTTTTTTGCTGGTGCTCTTTTTATGTTAAACATATTCAGTTCCTTAAAAAATTGTATGCTCATATTTGAATGTTATGTGGGACACATTTTTTGCATGCTCTAAGAATTTGACAATGACTTTATTGTCACATGAGTAGGGACCTCAGGTGTTCCCTGTTAAATTTACATCTTGTCAAGTTTTGACATAAACACACTGCAACAACATATCTTATAAATTTGTCTTTTTAACAGCAATATGTAGAATGACTTCCGATGTTGTTTCATATGGCTGTCCTCTGTGTAAATAGCATAGTTATAGGGACTTTTCTTCCAGTCAGTTCATTTAAGTTGTTACTTAGAACATTTCAGCCAGTTGCCTTTGCCCATCATCAGGTTTTTGGCTTTTCTGTTCTACCCCTAATAGTTACCTTCCTGTGCTCCCACTGCCAACTGAAAGCGGTTGGCCTGTTTCACCTTTATGGGATCTTATACAGGTGCATGGACGTCATAAATGCAGCTCATGTTCTGAATGGGCATCCATTTTCTGACATTGGTGGTGGTCTGCCATTATGGCATGCTACTTATAGGGGCTGCTGTGATGTTGCAGTACCCAAGTATTCTCTGAATCTTCTCAGACAGGCATGGACTGTGTGGAGGCAATATTGTCATATGGCTTGTGTTAGCATTGTTCTATACTGATAGGCATTCCAGGCATCCACATGATGAAAACCTTTGTGAAGCATTTCTTTGACACCTCCCATTAAAACAGCTCATCTTTTCTTCTGACTGCACCACCCAGTGCCTCCCTGGACATGGTAGGGCTCAACGGCTCAAAGTCGGCTCTCTGGCTGGGCTCAAAGTTGTGGTAGTGGCCAGGTGCCGTTGTTGGTTTGTGGTCTAATAATGCTGTAATCCGGTTCATGTGTAAGCTGAAGAATGGCCCAGGCATTGTCTTGTTTTCCTATTGCTCCATCAGCAGCTGAAATGACAGGCGCAGACCATGAATGTGACTCAGGAATGTGTTTGTACTGCTAGAAGACAAACATGTCCCATCAAAGCACAGCCATGTGCATACATGGTGCTGGCTCCATCAACATACTGTGGGCACATTTGGCAATCACCACTGTATGGGATGAGCCCACCACCTTACTCCCTGTCTGTTGGTGGCATTAGCTGTCTTACTGGGAGGCTGTTGCACTTGCAGAAAAATATTTGCAGCTTTGTGGTGTTTTGTGTTGGACTTGTCATTTTTTTCATGAAAAATTGTCATCTTCCAACTTGTTTCTAATGATGGGTGGAATTCCATGTGGTATAGCTTTGGTGAACAAACTCATGATGTTAATGGTCATTAGTTGCATGTCACAAAGCAAAGATATATTTTCTGTCACTGAGACATAAGGGCTGAATTTCTTTGCCTACAATGCAGACTTCCAACTCTAGGGTGTGATAATCTTGACCAGGAATAAGGAATAGCTCAGCAGATGGCAAGGTGGTTGCCACCCCATACCCCAATGGTCCCAATTGTGTTTGGGATTTTCAGTGGGCACTACTTGTGCTGAAGCTGGCTTGGATGTTGTTTCAGCTTTCTGTATTGCACATCTGTCAGTTACACTTTTACTACTTTGAGTACCACTTAGAAGCACTGTGCTCTTTTTCTATATTCTTTGGGATTTCTGTGTGTTGTCATTCGGCTGCTGGCATAGCGTGGTTCTGTACCGTGGTGCATGTTGCACTGCTTACAAGATGTTTGAGCCTTCATTGTTATCTGTTACATTGATGGGAACCACAGGCCTCAATACTGATGTTGGTAGGTGGAGATACTATAAAGATACATTTGCACAGAATGTTTGGGTTGAGGTGTAAGGCCAGGTGAAATATTTATAAATTTGCATTAACACCTCATCACAAACATTCCAAGCACTCTCTAGATCTTCTGTATGTAAACATGATGTACAGAGTGATATGGGGCGCATCTTCCTTTGCAAAAGGATTCTTTACATCCCACCATTTCATCTATTGCAAAGTTTGAGTGCTGTACAACTTTTAAAATTTTGAAGCCAGATTTTTGAAGGCGATTAGAAGCATGCAGTAATAAAGGCTTCAGAAATAATCATACCCTGTGTGTGTGATTCCAGAGGCTCGTGACTGCAGTGCACCAAGCCAGCCAAGATGGCTGATCCCACCAGTGTGGTACAGGCTCAGATATTTCACAAGCTGAAGCAACGGTTTACCCATGTCCCTGATGAGCACATCAGAGAAGTCATGCATAAGGTAAGGCAATCTGCAGGCAGCTCCGTTTGGCAGGTTTCATTCACCATGTCTGTGTTCTTAAAGTAATGATGATGATGATGATGATGATTTGGGGTTTTAGGGCACGTCGACTGCTGTAGGTCATGCAGCACCCATGTTCTTAAAGTAATGTTGTCTGGATCACTGGAATGAGTTATGTTGGGCTCATAGCCATCCTAAGTGGAAGTTGTTGCCAGGGTGTTGATTCCATCACTGCGAGGTCTGGGCTGCTGGAAAATTATATTCCAGTCTGTGGATTGATACCTACCTGGCTAGTGTAGCCAAGTAATGCACATGCCTGATGTGGTGCTAGTAATGCTGTTTTAATGTCGTGAGTTTTTTAGCGTCGTTTTTAAGGGCAAGACAGCTGCCTGGATGTAACGTCTTCCCTCATTGTATTGGGGTTATGATGCCTTAGGTGACGACTGGACCCTCTTGGTGTCGTGCCCCACTTCCACCTTGCACACCGCTCGCTGTGCTCCGAAACAGGCTCCTGCTCACCACTAGGCCACTAGGACGGCACGTGTCCAAGGATGGTGAAAGGCAAGGTCGGCTCGCCGCCTGCAAGCTGTCCGTTTTAGTCCTCTTACCACGCTCAGGGTCGCTCGATCACACGTGGTTTTAAGTGTGGTGTAGGATGTCAGGCATTAATCCAGTCAAGTGGTCAAAATATTGGTGTTCCCTCATAGTATGCTGCTTTCTTATAGGTATTCATGATCAGCTGGGATGTCATGCTAAACTGTATGTGCAAGAGCATGTCCTCAACCTGTTCCCAAATGTATGTTACAATTATATGATGGTACAGCACGTCATGCTTCTCCCCAGCACCACTACAACGAGGTGAAGTGCTGCGACCTGCTGGAGAACTACGAGGTGGACACGAGCGTGCTGGCGGCGCCGCTGGCGCAGAAGTACCACCAACTGTCGACGACGGCACGCCACGCGGTGGGCATGCTGGCCAGCATGGAGCCGAACACGGCCGCCGGCATGACGTCCACAGCCCGGCTGCTGCACGACATGAACCAGCCGCTGGAGGACGTGCGCATCGGCGGCCGCCGCGTCGACCTGACCGACACCCCGCTGAGCTTCCAGCGGACGCCGCTGCGCAGCAGCACCGGCGCGCTGGCCGCCGGCCACGCGGAGGAGCCGCGGCCACGGCACAGCTCGACGCCGACGGCGCGTCTCTCGCCCGGCGGCAACCTGCGACCGCTGGGAAGGGCCGCCACCGCCGGCCAGGAGGGTACGCTCGCGCCGCCGCTGGCCAGCGGCGCCGGCACTGCCATCGATTTTCAGCTGCGCGCCTCGCTGGCCGACTTGCAGGGCACGTCGCCGGCGTCGTCGCTGTTCTGGTCGGACCCGGAGCCGGGCTTCCGCACGAGTTTCAGCATTTCCATAGGCGACGGCGTTGGCGGCGGCGGCGTGTCGGCCTTCCGCGCCGGCGTCTCGCCGATCCGCGCCGCGCTGCAGTGGCGCTGCGACGCGCGGCGGCGCGACGCGCTCTCGGCGTCGCCGGTCGGCTCGCCGGCGGCTGCGCGGCGCCGCCTGTACGCCGCCGACCCGGAGCGCGGCGTGGCGCTGGTGCCGTGCTCGCGGGCGCTGGTGCGGCCCAACGTGGCGCCGCCACCACTTATCTCGCTGGACGGCGGCTTCGCGCCACAGGCCGAGCTGCGGCTGTCGCGGCTGGCCAGCGCCGGCGCGCTGCAGCCGCCGGCCGCCTGCCGCTGCTCGCACCCGCGCCAGCGCCAGCGCCAGCTCCGCCTGGCCGACTCGGCGCTGGTGCACACAGGTCAGACGGACCGGCCGCCGCGGCCGCAGCCGCAGACGCACGCGGCGCCGGCCCCGCCGTCTAACCGGGCCGGCGCGCTGATAACCCTGTTTGGTTTCGTGAGTGTGGTCGTTCCATAGTGGTTTTGTCGCCGGCCGGCTGCGGCCAGCGGTCCGCTGCGTTCGGTCGGCTGCCTGGCGCGGCACGGACGGCCTAACGCTTCGTCTTGGTCACTCACCGTTTGAAATGTGTGCCGAGAACAGCGTCCAGCCTGCTGTGTATGCTTTGTACGGAGCGCACGGTGTTGCGTGTGTCGTTGATGTAACGGCGCGGGGTGCGACCTCGCCAGTTTGCTTAACTCATTTGAAATGTACGGCCGTTTTTCACGTTTTGTGTTTCATAACATCTGTCCGAAATGTGTTTTTTTTTCTCAAATCCCAGTGCTGTTCATTTTTTATGTTGCATCTTTTGACATGGCATTGATTGCAACATATGGGCTAGTGAAAATCATGCCTCCCGCCTTTGTTCATGCCAGATTCGCTAGCATGCTCAAGGTTCAAACGTCTGTGCGCTTTTTAGAGAACTAATTATGTATTGTTACATTGTCAGACATTCGTTGTCGTGTTCAGTGAGTGCGACCAAAGCCTTTATGATCACCATCCTATTTTTCGAACGACCCTCATGTGTCGGGCCAGTAGACTTCACTATTGAACTGTGTCCACTCCCAATGTACTCCCAAATGCAGCCAGCGAATGCGTGTGAACACGGAGGCTTGGGACCATGGGACAAAATCTATCAGTTGGATCTCTTGCTTCCCTATTATATATATATATATATATATATATATATATATATATATATATATATATATATATGTATATGTATATTGTGCATGTAATGCCCGGCATTTGGACTGGGTGTAGTTTTGACATTAAACCCTATGCTAAGCAGGGCTTGTCGGATGAACCCTAACCTCACCATCCGATCGTGGCAGGTTAGTTCAACGGGAGAATCTGGTGGCGAAAGTTTAAGGTGCCCTTATGCTCGACACGGGTCTGCCCCGCCCTCTAACCTCACCTGACTGAGCGGCTCCTGCCACCGACCGCAGTTCATCCCAGCCATGGGCTAATAGCGAGCGCCGAAGCGACTCAAACCCATCCACTCCGTTACCGGCACGTTTGGGGTCAAACGCTTTAGCTAATTGAGCTACGGGGTGGACACTATGACCATTGATGTACTGTGTATCATTGGTCGACCCGGCGGCATGCCTCAGCATATGCAAGTCAAAAAACCTTCCACGGAGTCAATATCCGGTTCCTCAATCCACGACAACCTCGTCCATGTCTCATGCAGCTGTCCCCTCTGGGGGCGTGTTTCGCTTAACGTGCCCCTCCTGTCGGCCGGCAGCGCTCATCAGCCGCCAGATGGAGGCGTACAACAAGCTGTACGCCGAGGTGGAGCGGAACCGGCGCATGCACAGCCAGCTGCTGGCCGACATCGACGGGCTGCACTCGCAGCTGTCGCAGAAGGCGGCGCAGGTGGGCCCGCGCTCGGCGCACCCGGCGCCTGCAGCTGAGGCCCGGGCCACACGAGCCCCGGACTGGTGGGGCCTCGGTCCGCTGGAGCCTTGGGCCGATGAGGCCGCGGGCCGTACAGTTAATTTTTTTTGGGGGGGGGGAGGGGAGGCAGGTCCAACCAAGTCAGTGCCCGGACTGTGGACGATGGGACCCAACCCAACGCGTGGGCTGCACCGGCGGCAGACTGCTGCGTGTTCACTGCCAGTGTTGTCATTTCGTGTCGTGGTGTGGCACTGCGAAGGCTCACGGAGGACGCGGGCCCGGGCTCCGGACCAGCGAGGTCGACGGGCGGCACGGGTAATGGACCCAGCGGGGCTCCGTCAGCTGCTGTCGAAGGCTCAGACGCGTCGGTGGACCGCCACTTGCAGTGACGTGCACATGTGGCCGTGCGGCCGGTACCGGTTTGTGGATGCGGTGCGGGCTCGGCGCGATTTCGACGGGCGGGCGGGGCGCTGGGCGACATGTGTCCCTCGTGTGTTTCAGCTACGCGTGCTCCCGCTCCCTTGTTGGCAAACGTTGACCCAGTCTCTCGGAGGAAACCCTTGCCGTGGCCACGTGACCTGTGGCGTATGCGCCTGTCAAGCTGGCCCGCTCCTTATTAGGACGAGGAACTGCTCTTCATGTTCGCAGTGCTACTCGGTTGCCCTGTTTTGTATTGTTTTTCATTACATTATCGGTTCCCGTTGACGACCAGAGTTGGACCGACGTTCCAGAAACACAAAGGCTCCTGTAAATAGTTAGGCGGGATTTGAACCAACCGTAGTGGCCTCGTTTGCGCTTACGTCATGGTCCATGCAGCTTTTTACGGCAGCTGGGCGGAGCGATTGCCATCGCATAATAGGCACCTGTTAGACACACGCTACGGCCGTCCCGGCGTGGGTGCAGTGCTACGCGTGTTCTACCACAGCTGTTGCTCGTGTCACCGTGGAAAGTCGACATCCCCGAAGCGGTGACCGCACGCTATCATCGCGGCGGGCTCGGTCCGCGCTGCGAGTGCGACTGTTTTGCGCCGGGGTGTGTGCAGTCGGCCAGCCACGGCGGGCCTGCGTTGTGACGCCGCGTGTGGCGTGGTCGGCCAGCCACGGCGGGCCTGCGTTGTGACGCCGCGTGTGGCGTGGTCGGCCTCAGGAGGATGAGAAGGACCGGCTGGCGGAGGAGAACGCCAAGCTGCAGCGCGAGTGCGACGCCATCTCCACCGACATCGACAACCTGCGGCGGATGCGCGGTGAGCGCCGGCCGGGCTCGGGCGGCGGCCGCGCTCGCTCCGCGGCGGCGCACTGGTCGGCGCGGCCAGTCGGAGCTCCGAGATCGTGGGGCCGTGCGGTCGCTGCTGCACTCACGGTGGCGATAGCGGAGGCGTACTGTCGGACACCTCACCTGTATCCGATGGGATATGGATCGTCTCCGGTGTACATCGATGTGGGCTCTCATTGAAGGGAACGCTCCCTATTTGAAGATATGGAAAGGGTGAAAAAGCTCACGTATAACCAGTGGTATACGTTTTGTGGAAAAGACTTCTAGACAACACAAAATTTATGTTGAGAAAATATGCCCCTTCATTCGTCATTGTTTAATTACGTCACCGCGCCTTGCACAACCGATTGAGGGCCGGTTGACGGCAGTGATGCACGGAAATCGTGCTCACCAACGCCAGGTATGAACGACTCGACAATTATGTTTTTCTTGGCCTTCATCGCCACATGGATAATGGAAGGACAGGATTTGAATGACGTTATTGTATCGACATGGATGCCTGGGTGAACCGGAAATAGTCTCCCGGAAAAAGTTTGCACATCTTCACGGGCGTGTAGCTCAGAAGCCAGAAAGGCGTAGGTCCGAATAAGGGTGTGGGCTGGAGCTGTGGACCGCGCTGAATAATCTTCAAGATGGCTATTTCAGTTCAAAACCCAATACAAATGTGTGACACTCCCTTTAAATCTTTATGACCTTGGGGATTCTTCGAAAGTCAGCAGGTTTGTCTCCCAACGTGCATGTTTGTTTAATTCATCTTGACCCCATAAAACGCATTAATGACGTAATTTACTCGCCTGTGGGTGTCACAGAAGAAATGTGTCGTTCAGCGCCGCGATGTCGATGCTCATGTTGTGAAGGCCGGTTGGCGCGGCTGGCATTAACCACTGCTCGGTCGTGTTCAGGCCGGCTGCAGTCTCCGGTCTCGCCGGGCTCGTCCTCCAACAACCACCGGCCCAGCAGCGAACCCGGTGAGAATCCAGCTCCGCGCCGCGTCTGAGGCCGAGCGGCGCGGCTGCCTCTGACGTCCTGGAGCGGCGGGTCATGGGCGACAGGACGGGTGACGTCCTGTCGCCCATGACCTGGGTGTCGGCCGGGTGACGTGATGTGTCGGTTGGTTGATATAATGTCGGCTGGGTGACTTAATGCGCCGGCTGGTTGACATGATGTACCGGCTGGTTGGTACGATGTGGCGGCTGGGTGACATGATGTATCGACTGGTTGACATAATCTATCGGCTGTTTGACATGATGTATCGGCTGGTTGACATTACGTATCGGCTGGTTGATACGATGTGTCGGCTGGGTGACGATGTATCGACTTCATGGCGTGTTGTGTCGGTGGGTACGGTTTCGGGTGCGGGTCCACAGCTCATGAGCCCTGCTGACCCCCCCCCCCCCACTCTTGGACTTGCAGGGGCGGAGGACGACCCTGCCGAGGGACCGCAGTGGCCGTGTGGCTCATGCACCTTCCTTAACCACCCTGCCATCTCCGACTGTGAGCAGTGCGAGATGCCGCGCATCGTATTAGGTGAGCAGCCGGCCTGATGTGCCGGGCCGCCGCCAGAGGCGCCCCTGTCGCCTCGCCGCCCCGGCCCACACAGCAGCGCAGGCGGTGGGCCCGCCGGCTTGGCCGTGTCCGTGGCCTCAGCGCGGCTTCACGTGCCAGTGTCATCGTCACGCGCGGCTTGATCGGCTTTGGTGCAGCGCTCCCGGAGATCGTAGTTCTTTTCTTCGCACGAGCAAGTACAGGACCTTCAAAAAATGGCGTCATCGTCAACACCATGTTTCAGTTGGCTTCCCAAAAGTGGTGGCAGCAGTTTCGTCACCAGATAGTCACGCCTGGAACTTTGTCAAGTATGGTGACATTGCAGTCAATCAGCATACACCACTATCACTCGCTTAGAGCTAGCTATAGCACTGTTGGTGCGCGAGCCAGAAGCAGTGTTGACAGTTCCTTCGAGGCCGTCTGAGTTTGTTTTCATTACCAATTCATGTACACTGAGACACTTTGAGTACTTGTAAGTGCTAGGGGCAATTCACTGGGCTATTGGTTAATGTGTGGCAGTCATTATTATCAAAGTTACAGACAGACTGTGAGAACTCGCGAATTATCAGCGGTTGTGGTTCTATGATGCGATATTTCCAAATATTGTGTTTATATGACAGTAGTCACAATCAACCATACCCGACATTAACTTCACAGTCACCAGAACCTGATGGTGACTCCATGGCCCCCCGCACCTGGCGGTAGCATCACACTCACCCGTGCCTGACGGTAACACCATGGTCACCCACATCTGACGGTAACACCCCTCACCCGTACCTGACGGTAACACCATGGTCACCCATACCTGATGTTAATACCATGGTCGGCCACACCTGATAGTAACGCCACACTCACCCGTGCCTGACAGCATCACCACACTCACTCTGACCTGACGGTGACATCACACTCACCCGTACCTGACGGTAACACCATGGTCACCCGTACCTGACGGTAACACCATACTCACCCTCACCTGACGGTGACATCACAATCACCCGCACCTGGTGGTAACACCACACTCACCCTTACCTGACGGTAACACCATGGTCATCCGTACCTGACGGTAACACAACACTCACACGTGCCCGACAGTATCACCACACCCACCCGTGCCTGACGGTGACATCACAATCACCCGCACCTGGTGGTAACACCACACTCACCCTTACCTGACGGTAACACCATGGTCATCCGTACCTGACGGTGGCATCACACTCACCCGTACCTGACGGTAACACCATGGTCACCCGTACCTGACGGTAACACCACATTCACCCCTACCTGACGGTAGCACCATGGTCACCCGTACCTGACGGTAGCATCACAGTCACCCTTACCTGACGGCAACACCATACTCACCCTCACCTGACGATAACACTATGGCCACCATTACCTGACGGTAACACCATGGTCATCCGTACCTGACGGTAACACCACACCCACCCGTACCGGAGGGTAACACCACACTCACCATTACCTGACGATAACACCATGGTCACCTGTACCTGACGGTAACACCATGGTCACCCGTACCTGACAGTAACACCACACCCACCCTTACCTGACGGTAACACCATGGTCACCCGTACCTGGCGGTAACACCACACCCACCCGTACCTGACGGTAACACCACACCCACCCGTACCTGACGGTAACACCACACCCACCCGTACCTGACGGTAACACCACACCCACCCGTACCTGACGGTAACACCATGGTCACCCGTGCCTGACGGTAACACCACACTCACCCTTACCTGACGGCAACACCATGGTCACCCGTACCCGACGGCAACACCACACCCACCCGTACCTGACGGCAATACCATGGTCACCCGTACCTGACGGTAACACCACACTCACCCTTACCTGACGGCAACACCATGGTCACCCGTACCTGACGGTAACACCACACCCACCCGTACCTGACGGTAACACCACACCCACCCGTACCTGACAGTGCCGGCCGGCCGTCGCGGCGGCGTCCGTCAGTGCCACTCGCCCGGCCGGCCGCTGACGGCGCGCCAGCCGCTGACGGAGCGATAACATGTTTGTCGTGTGGCCGGCGGCGCGCTGTTTTGACGTGCGACGGCGGCGACGCCTGTCGGCACCCGGTCACCGGCTGCTGGCCGACGGAGCCGCGGGCGGCGGAACCCCGGCTGAAGGGACCGCTGCCGGCCGGGAGGGGTCGGCTCAGCAGCGACACAGCGAGCCCTGGCGCTGGCAGCACGCTGGCCGGGTGGCACTGCTGCCGGCTGCCGGCGGCCGACACGAGTCCTGGGCTGACACACGCGGCAGCGTCGGCTCAAGCTTGCTAAGGCAGCGGTGTTCACGGCGGTGTCCGGCACTCCTCTCTCCCGCACCAGAGTCAGGCGGTGGGATCGCTGCCGTCCCGCCATCCGACCACAGTCCTCAGTCAGCCAGGGTACCCCACAACACAGGAGACGGGCAGGACTGACCAAATACCCCAACCGATGCGCTTCTCAGCTGCGCGAGATGATTGGCGACGGTTGACAATACACACCCTTTTTTGACCGGGGATGCACACTTCGTCTTGTTGTATGCTTTAATTTTGTTGTAATTTTGTATGTAGCACCCGCACAGAAGTTTGTGGTGCATCAATTGCTTGCGTTCAAACGCAAGAGCAGCTATTTTCGAATTGTCAGCCGTCGATATGGGCCATCACGAGCATCTCACACTTATTCCAAACAGGGTTCTGCCTCGCTTTCCCTTCCTGTCGATGTTCTAGTGGCAGAGGTCGGTGCTTTGAGATTCATATCGGTTCTTGTCCCACGTGCTTGTCATAGTGCGGCGCGGCGTGCTCGGCATGGGCTCTGTGCTGCACCACCGTTGTGCTCCCTGTTAGGCGCCGTTCGCCGACTCAAGCGACTAGTTTTCAGTTGTTTGCCGGTGCGCGAGTTCGTCTGCTTCTCTGTGCTTCCAGCGCTCTGTATGTGTGCAGCTGTGCTTTGGCCGCCGCTCAATCGGTGCGGGGCCATCACCACTCGCTGTTGTGCTCGTAACGCAGCCGCGACGGCCCCGCCGGCGGGCGGCCGCCAGCGCCTGCGCGGCGCGCGACCGGCCGACGGTGCGCGTGCGACGCCTGACACCGCGCCCGCTCTGTGTTATAGGCACCTACGGCCAGGGCGCCGGCTACGGCCGGCCGCGTGTCCAGACAAGTAAGCCGCCCCCGGTCGGCCACTGGGGCGCCCGCAGCTGCCCCGCCGCCGGCGCACGGGGCTGAACGGGCACACAGGCTCGCCTTCCCTGTCTCCCTCCCTCCCTGCCTTGCATCCTTGTCGGGATCCTTCATCCCCTCCCTCCCTCTCTGTCTGCGTTGCTGCCTCCCTGCCTCCTTCCCCGCATCCCTCCCTCCCTGCCTGCCTGCCTCCCTCCGTGCCTCCTTCCCCGCAGTCCCATGCTCTATCCCTCCCATCATGCCTGCATGGCCTCCTCCCTCCCTCCCTCCCTCCCTCCCTCCCTCCCTCCCTCTATGTCTGCCCGCCTCCCTTCAGGCCTCCCTCCTCATCATTTCACCCTCCCTCTTTTCTCCCTTCTATCCCCCCTGTCTGGCTGCCTCCCACCGTGCCTCCTTCCCCGCATCCCTGCCTCCATCCTTCCGCCCTCTCTTTGTCCCTCCCCTCCGACCGCCGCCTCTGCAGCCGCCGTCTAGGGCTGAGCTTATATATAATAAGGCAATTTGGGGCAAAGCTGGGACACGGATCAGATTAGTAAGATGTTTTTCTTACGTGAGCGTCGTTGACCTTTACAAAATTAACTCGCCATCGTCTCTGATTTGATGTGCGGTGAGTGCGATATGCGTCCCTCCACGCTGTCTGCGCAAGCGTGTATGGTGCAGCGTAGCCACATGTCAGCCTCGTGTGCCGGCCGGGCGTCGGCGCTCGCGCCGACCCTGCTAACCTGCTGCTCCCCCCTCCCACGCCACTAACACCACCAGCGCGCCAGCTGTGCGTACTAACACCGCCGGTCTGTAGCTGGACGCCGAGCGGCGGCCGGCAGCGCTGGCTGGCGCCGTCGGGCCGGCCGGGCTGGCTCCCGGCCGCTGCTGGGTCGCCGGGGTACTAACATGGCGCGGTCACCGGCAGCAGCCGTGTGTTGTGGGGCGCGGCGGGCGGCAGACAGGCCGGCCAGGCAGGTCGCGCTGACACTGACCTGGTGCAGGGTCAGGTCGCGCCGTTCGGGTGCTTTTGTGGGCATGTCCGGCCGGGAAACCATGAGCTTGCGGAAGACAGGCGGTCTGGTTACGCTCCTTAAATTTGATGGTGTTCAGATTTATAAGGACTGTCGTGTCTCGCTTTGAGTTAAACCTTGAGTGGTAAAATGCATTGGCCATGGTCGCTTGTGTTCAGCCATCTGGTGACACCCGAGGCGTAATAATGGGCGCCATATAACAAGCGTAGTCGAAGCGCCTTATAACCCAAATAATCGTGGCCATCATCACGGCGTGTTACGTTATTTGTTCTGTAGGGTATTTGTGACGTTCCGTGACACAATGTCATGGTCCCGTATACTATCAAAAGGACCTTCTTCATTCGTATCTTCAAAGAAGAAATTACTGGAGACTGCTTACCTTAGTTTCAACGACGCTTTCGCGGACAAACCTGTTGGCCAGACGACATGCATGCGGTGATTTGCGGGACCTGTATTACTTCAGATGGGCTTTCCATTCCGCAACCTTAACGCCTTGCCTTGCCATTCTCCGCTCATGTGCTGTGACTCACCACACGTGCTTAGGAACGTGACCGCTTGAATTTGTGCTTCGAAACTCTGCGTCTCAAGCAAAACGACAAACTCAAATTATCCAAATCAACTACCTACTCACATTTACCGTGACCAACCCGTTCCTTTCAGACCTGAACGTCACATAGCGGTGCGACGCCGACAAGCCAGCCGGCCTCCGCACCGGCCGAGGCGTCTTGTCGGACCTGGCCGTCCGTCAGGCGACGTCATCGGCTCCACTGCCGCGATCCGCCGGCGAGCTCGCGGCGGACTGCGGCGCCACCCCCACCGGCGTCCACCTGACCCGGGCCGTCAGCCGGGAGAATCTCAGGCGGTCAACGCGCGGTGCCTGGCGCCGACGCGGGCCGCGCGAACCATGCTCCGTCCTAGGTGCCTGCGCGCTGAGCGACCGGCGCTGCTCTGTCGCCGGCGCTCAGCGGTCCGTCCGGCGCTGCTCGGTGTCGTCAGCAGGCGTGCCGTCCGGCGCTGCTCTGTCGCCGGCGCTCAGCGGTCCGTCCGGCGCTGCTCGGTGTCGTCAGCAGGCGTGCCGTCCGGCGCTGCTCTGTCGCCGGCGCTCAGCGGCCGTCCGGCGCTGCTCGATGTCGTCAGCAGGCGTGCCGTCCGGTGCTGGCCCGTGCCGCCGGCGCTCAGCGGCCGTCCGGCGCTGCTTGGTGTTGTCAGCAGGCGTGCCTCCCGGCGCTGCTCTGCCAGCGGCGCCGCGTCGGCCGACAGCGGGCCGGCAGCAATAACGGAATGCCGGCGGTCCAGTCACGTCTTTCGGGCGGTGTTCGCCGACGGCGGCTCACCTGATGCCGCGGGTCGGCCGGCGACGGGTGTCGTGCGGCTCCGGTGGAGCGGGTCGCCGCGTCCACAACCGTGATAATATCGTTGCTCCTGCGCGCGCCGACGCCTTCGAAGTGGGCCGCGCGCCGTGTGGCCGTGGACAACAGCAGAGATTATGTATCCGTTTGATGAGCTTTTGCATTTTACCACTAATGTGCCTGCCGAGCGCCGGGTTTTTATTTACACATGTCCTACGTGGGTGTCAGATAGCAGATAGGTACGTGGGGTGCTGCTTGCCGTTCTGGAGGATATTTATTACACTACCGCATATTCAGTATAGCTCTGTTGTCGTGCAGCGCCTGCAAACGAGCAGCTGGGCGAGCTGTGGGCCGGCATTGGAGGTCATTGGTTCGCTGGCAGTCACCCTCGGCTCACCAGGTAGTGTCATGAGATGAACGTGCCGAGCTCAGTGGCTAATATGGAGTGAATGGGGGACGTGGTGCAGTATTGTGCATGGTTCATTTTGTGTTCAAGTCGCGAATTTATGCGCGTTTGGGCGCTTCTATGTCGTTGATTTTGGAAAGACTTTAACCAAAGCAGTGTGTGCTCTGTGATGAATAAAAACGCAAGGAGTGACGTACGGCTTTATCTTGTAATACACAATGGATATTGCTGGAGCTCAGCGGATGGAGTGCCTTTGAACCCGATGCCCTGATATGATGGGAAATGCAGGGTTTGGGCTCGTAGGAAGACAGGGTTGCACATTTCCGTTATGCTCGGCCTGAAGTTTGTGAGGCAAGAATGTAAACTCGTGTAAATTGTATGTATTTAGTTGTTGCATTGAAGTGAGCTTTGGACTAATAAGGCCTGTGTCGTCGCATGACGAAAATCGCATTGGATGCAACCATGATCACGAAATGTCACCAAGCTGCGACCGCTGATGCGACTAGGGCGCAGATCACGCCAGCAACCGGAGCATCGACAAAACGCCGAACACAGAGGGAGCTTCGCAGGGCGCCGGACGTAGCGCGCAACCGTAAGAAGCTGTGGCTGTGTCCAGCGGCGCATCCAGTCGCGCTTCGCTAGGTCTTCTAGGTCTAGGTCTAGGTCTTAACTAGCTTCGTGTCCTGACGTGTGGCCGCGACCTGGCCTTTCGCGAAGAAAACGGCCGTGACCCAGCCCCGCGGGAGTCCTCGACACATCCCATCCACGCGTCCTTTGAGACTGCGCCGTGTCTGCCGCGGACCCGGGCCCGGGCTATGACCCACGCGAGGCGGTGGCGGCTGCGACCTTAGCTGTTGCGCGTGTCACCGAGTCGTTGGACGCGCGCGCCCGCACGCGGCGGCCCTGGGTGACGAGCTGTTTGCGCCGTCGCCGGGCCTGACAGGCTGTCGTCGGCGAGGTGGCGGCGCTAGCCGGGCCGGCCCGGCGCCCACTGGCGGTCCGGCACCATGGAGGACGCACGGCTCTGGTGGTCGCTGCTCGCGGCGCTGCTGATTGCGGCAGGTGGGCACCCGGCGTCGGGGATCTGCCGCGTGGCTGCTCGCGTCGGGCCGCCGCCTCGCCGCCGGCCCCGACGGCTGCTCCGTCGTTGGCGTTGACCCTCCCGATCACGTGAAATAAGTCTCGTTAGAGGGACTGCGCCTTTAAAAAGTTTCCCATGGTTCCTTCCTTCTAAAAAAGCGACAGTTTATTCTGAAAATATCTTGTCAGATGCCGATGCTGTTAATATAAATGGCTCAGGTACAGTCATTCCCACAACGCGCTGTTGAGGTAATAGCGATTGAACGCCGAAATTTTTTTAGTGTACCATCAAAAATACTGCTATATTTGCAAAAGTCCCATTCTCTTGATGGACTTGGTGCCAAAATTCAGAACCCTCGCTGGACCATCACAATTTTAAGAAAATATATCAAAGCGAAACGGTGAAGTGTCGCGTCGGAAGGACCTGGCTTAACTTCCCCCACATTTAACGCAGACAGTGTTTTGTGGCACGTCCAACCCCTGGGAGGAAAACTTGTCATGCAATGATGGCGCCTCATTTCCAGCGGCTACGTAACATGAACTACTGGTCCCGCAACATGCGCTATAAAGTGCGTACCAGCCGTCACTGTTCGACTCGTAGATATAAAGGAACATAAAAGGCAGCTATCGTTATCACATCCGGGGCTGTATGCCACATCGGTCGATGTGTCACGGTGCTAAGTGGAGTTATGCTAATATATCGGGCCTCTTTACTCCACAGGTGCTGCTGCTCAGAAGGATCTGTGCAAAGGAAAGGTTGAAGTCTGTTCCCAGGGCGAGGTCAAAGTCGCTGGAACTTGCGGTAAGTACGACCAAAACGTGTTACGTGTTCCATCAGTTTTTTATCGCGGGTACCATGTGATGAACGGGTTATTTATTTTCAAAAACATTTTCTTTGCCTTTCAAGGCACTCTGAATGCTGCTCCCACGCCGCATCTCCAGCGGTCTAGTTTAAACAGCTTCCTAAGTAGCACCAGAGGCATTCCCGAATTAATTGTTTTCCTAGTGCTTCGTGGTGCACGTCAGGTTTCGAGATGGCGCTGCTGATGTGCTTACATCGTCTTGCCGCAATGCGGCCAGCCCTTCGTGTGAAAAGGATTTTGGGGTAGCAATGACCGTTCGCTTTTTTAAACTTGACGGTTCACTGGTTCCAAGGGTTTAGGCAAACTTATTGGTACCGTTATCGGCCGTATATATATATATATATATATATATATATGTATATATATATATGTGTATATATATATATATATATATATATATATATATATATATAAATGTGTGTGTATACATATTCCATTTAGGGCGTGATGTTGGGTTACCGTCGTATCGCGAGGCAGCCTTGTCCCTCCTTGCCTAGCAGCCCGCCGGTGGGTCTCTCACTAAGGTAAGTACATTTAATCCCTGCTTGAAAGTCTTCGAAACCCTAATGGGACAGAAGCCTCTGACAAAAGGAGCCCAATGCTTTGCTATTAGTACAGACTAGACCATGGGTAAACCTGTCATTTGCTTTACTCTCTCAGTTCCAAAGCATCAGTCAACAGTCCATCCGCTATGCGATGTATTCACTTATGTGAAGACATTGAAACGTGTCCTACGATCTGCACCGACAGTCTCAAGAGTCATAATTTCCTGCTCCCCTCCCATTGCAAGTGAACACCACCGGCGGTTACGCCAGATGCGTGTCATACAACAAAATCCCAGAGCGTATGGTTCTACCCTGACAAGAAGGACCTGTGCTCGCTGGCTGAGTGCTACTTGCTGTGTGATCGACATGGCTACTTCTTCACCATCTTCATTCCGACCCAGGAAACCTCGGACCGAGTGCCCAACAACCAGTGAGTCACGTGACGCGAGCAGAAATCGCGCCAGCCATTGTTCGTTCGTCACTAACCGTGATAACGGACTCGCGAAGCACATGCTTTGCATTCATAGAAGTGTAATGTAGTGTATGTAGTGGCAGTGTATAATAGTTTATAATATATATATATATGTAGATCACTATATATATATATATATATATATATATATATAGTGAACAGCGTATATGAAGCTAGTGTTAAACCAACCATACACCACACAATAGACAAGGGCGCAGATATGCCAAGAGCGTTTTGCTGGCGCGTCGATCCCGCCACCCAGAAAGTGCGATTTGAGATGACAGAAAATTCGCCACCACGCTTTTGTCCCTGACCCGATTGCGGAACGATGTTTTTTCATTGCCACGCAGGTGCTATGACCAAGTTTGCATCCGACTCAGGATGAGGAGTCATCTCGTCTCTGACCCATAGCTAAGTCTATTCTGACTGTGGGTCTGACTGACTTACCAGTTGCCGTGGGGTCCGCATCTGACTGGTCGTCCTTAAAGCAAATTAAGTCAACTTGACTCTGATGTCATTCGAATCCGGCACTAAATCAGTACAATTTTGCATAATGTCCGAGCCGACTGAATGTTCTGTTGGCCTACTTTTTCCATTACCCTGCATCGATCACTTTTCATGTGTTCAATTTATAAGTCGAGCGCGTTTAGACCAGTAACCAACAAGCAGAAATAGATGATCGCCTTCAGCATGTATACCTATATGCTTCCAAAAAGTCATGGGAGGGGCGTCACTTTATATACTTTCGGAGGGCTACCCGCAACGCTAACCCGGGCCTCCTAACTGCTTTTCTGACACTCCCAAGGCATGTGAGCAAAAAAGGGAATACTGAGCAGCAAAATTACCTTAACTGCTACTCTACACCCAAGTTTGACGCGAATTGATTTTCGTATTTCGCCTGTTTTTCCTTGTACTTTCTTCAAAACCCTTGGTTTTGGGCGGCACCCCAGTACTAGCCGTCATTATGCTACGCGTGGTATTTTCCGGGTTCTGGTTTCATTCAGCTTCTTTAACCGTCCACGTAACCAGGAGCCAAAGCTCCCCATTTCTTTGCAATTTAGTCATGATCACCTGGGAGGAACAAAACGCCGGTAAAGCCCGTTGACAGCACCCTTCTGCAGGCCTATTAGACCGATCGACAGCAATACCTCACCATTCGACGCTGCTTGGTCGTTGACAATCTTCCACAAAGCTGGTGACCTTGGGTCAATCAAAATGTCACCAAAAATGCAAAAAATGAAAACTTTTTTAATCCAAGCCGACAGGACAAATGACCACAAAGCTCCCGCCAGTCGATGTGCCATAGTCGATGTCCTATCTTGTTCAGAACATGGCGACCTCGGGTCAGGTCGAATGCCTCCAAAAAAAAAATCGTACAAAAGCCATCGGAAGTTAGTTCACACTTACTTTGCAAACTAATTTCAGGTGGTTTGGGACGTTTTTTGATAATCTTTAACCTGACCCAAGGTCACCATTTCGCTGGAAAGGACAGGTTACAGAACATGGCGTGTCGATTGCCAGAGGTTTTGTGCCGATCTGTCTCATAGGCTGGGGCCATGGGGTTGCATGCAGACAGTTTTGGTGTTTTTCTGCGTTTTCGGTGTTTTTCACCCCGGCTCAAGGTCAATATTTTCTGGGAATATTAGGTTGTCGACCATTGTTCATAGATAAGCAAAAATTGTGTGCCCATTGGTCCGATCGCCTCGGGGCATATGGTTGTCTGCAAAGTGGTTGATGCCCGAAGCATGATCTTTTTTGGTGATCTTCGTTCTAACCAACAGTTACCATGCTCTTGACAGGATGGGCTATCGACCATGGCGCATCAGTTGGTGAAAGTTTCGTGCCAATCGATCCCATGGGCTTGGAGCGTGGGGTTAGGTGCAGCCAATTGTGGTGGCTTTGGATGTTTTTGGTAACCTTTGACCGGGCGAAGTTCACCATGTCTGGGAAAGGTCAGATTATCGATCATGATGCATCAATTTGCAGAGGTTTTGCAAACCCCGAGCCTATCGGCTTTATAGGCTCGAAGTTTGCGCAGTCTGCAAACAATGTTGGTGGTTTCGGACGTTTTTAGTGACTTCCGACCTGAACTAAGGTCACTATGCTCTGGAAAAGATAGCAGATTGAATACGACGCATCGACTGATGAAAGCTTTGTGATGATCTCTGCCACAGGTCCGGAGTATGGGGTTGTCTGCAACAATTTGTTCGGCTTTGAGCATTTGTAGTGACTTTTGAACCTGGTCCAAAGGTCACCATCTTCTGCAAAAGATCGGCTATCGACCAAGCGGCACCGAATAGGGGAGAGTTTGGTATCGATCGGTCTTGTAAGCTCGGAGCATGGGAATGTCAATAGGTCTCGTCGGCCGTTTAGCCCCTCTCTGATAGCCCGGATGATATTTATTAGCAATTGGTAAGGTACCTGTGTGATAACATAAATGTAACAACCCGTGTAATATGCCAAAGTATTTAGTCAAATGTCTAAACTAAGCTTAACGGACATGAAAAGGCAAAACATGCATCGTTTCTTTGCTTCACACTGGTCATCACCACTATCACCACCACCGGAATTTCCCCATCTTTCCCGAGCCTGAGTTCATAGTTAGGCAGTTCCAAGTGCTCCCCGACCTGCTTATTGTGATTAAGCACTGCAGATGCCCCTTCTCCCCGAAATCCCGAATTTGACGGTCGGGAGACTCGGGCAGGCTTCGTGTTTCCCCAATGGATGGTCAACGAAGAAAACTTGGAAAACCCCAGGCATTTCCCAAGGCGGTTGGGGAACTTGGAGATCCTCAAGTATTTTCCAACCTTTCGTGACTTTAACCAAAGCAAATTGATGATTGGTTGACTATTCCCTTGATTTAAAGCGATGGCCGGGGACTCTGTAAATCACTAATTCTACACTAGTGTTCGGTACAATGGTCGTAGTGCTATTTACAGAGTCCCCAAATGCTTACTAATTGCTAAATGGTTACCTTTTCTGCGCCAGTGTGCAGTACACTAGTCCTAATGCTTTAGTGTCCCTGACTAACTTTGCGCATCAATAATGATGATAGTTAAGCTCATTGAAATGGTTCTTTCCCTCCAATGTTTTTACGACACACACACACACACACACACACACACACACACACACACACACACACACACACACACACACACACACACACACACACACACTGTGTGTGTGTGTGTGTGTGTGTGTGTGTGTGTGTGTGTGTGTGTGTGTGTGTGTGTGTGTGTGTGTGTGTGTGTGTGTGTGTGTGTGTGTGTGTGTGTGTGTGTGTGTGTGTGTGTGTGTGTGTGTGTGTGTGTGTGTGTGTGTGTGTGTGTGTGTGTCTATTCACTATAATATAACCATACCCGAGTAGCACTGCTCCTCGAATGAGGTGCCCCATTGCCGTGACCACAGCACCATGGGTGTCCCTCCCAGAGGCCAGCTTGTGCAGAAGACAGGCAAGTGCTGGTGTCACAACAACGGTGGGTACGCATGGCGCTCCAAGCGAACAGCGATGGCAGATTGCAATCAGAAGAAACACGCCATCATGGTGAAAAACGGCTTCAGCAAGAACGTCCGAAAAAAGAATGAGTTTTACAATTGCGCCGTGGAGCTTCCAGCTGCAGGTAAGTCACTGCAAGCTCGACGACGATAGCCGGTACCGCTGGCCGGCATTGCTGGCCAGCACCCCTGGCCGTACCAAAGCGCCGTTCAAAACCGACAAAAAGGCCGGACGCAACCATCCGAACATGCGGTGTTTCCTTCGGTGCGCGGCTTCCGATGGTCAAATGACAGGCTGACCTGCTGACGTGGCACTTCGCACGCATGTTTTGTATCGCGTGCTTTGCCTACCGCCAAGCGGACGTTGCACATGAGAGCCGCTGGCGGGCGCTGGTGACGGTCGAGCGCCCAGGCCCCTGGCCGCGTCTGATCGCCGCTCTCTGTCTGCGGCAGGAGCGCGGTCCACCGCCGTGAAGTCCTCATTTCCACCCGCCGCCGGTTCAGGTGAGTCCTCATACGTCCGGTTGTGACACCGCTTCACGCCCTGCTCACGCGAGGCACGAGTGGCAGTCAACCGGCCGTAACTGTGGACGTGCTCACGCGATGCACGAGTGGCAGTCAACCGGCTGTAACTGTGGACGCGCTCACGCGAGGCACGAGTGGCAGTCAACCGGCTGTAACTGTGGACGCGCTCACGCGAGGCACGAGTGGCAGTTAACCGGCCGTAACTGTGGACGCGCTCACGCGAGGCATGAGTGCCAGTCAACCGGCTGTAACTGTGGACGCGCTCGCGCGAGGCACGAGTGGCAGTCAACCGGCCGTAACTGTGGACGTGTCACGGGGCTCCACCTGGCCGCAGGGCGTGCCACGGGGCTCCACCTGGCCGCAGGGCGTGTCAAGAGATTCCACCTCGCCGTTATTATGGGCATGTCAAAGGCTTCCACCCGTTGTAACTTTGGGCGTGTCCGCGGTTCCACCTAGCCGTAACTGTGAGCGTTTCAGGGGTTTCACCTGTTGTAACTGTGGGTGTGTCAGGGGGGCTCCGCCTGACCGTAACTGTGGGCGCCTCGGGAGGAGGGGGGGGGGGGGGAGGAGGCTCCGCTATCAAAACCTTTACCTCGCCTCCAGGGTGTAGTCGTTCCCACGCACGTGTGGCTGCTCGCCGACTGAACACTAGAATAGCTCATTCAAACGACTCTAATAATGGTCCTTTCGTTGCCAGCGGCGCCACTGGCTGAGCGAGTCTTAGCCGCCGCGCTAATAAAGGGGAGAGAGGTTGATCCCTTAAGGTTTTTGACACCTCTCCGGCATGTTATACAATCACGCCTCAATTTTCAGCAGCCTATGGGGATCCATTGCACGTGTTTTGACGTAAAAACGTGTCCCTAGCGTTTCTGGTTTCGGAGCAACGACCTTTTTTTAGGAGCATTGCACAGCGATCTACAGCCTGCGAGGGCGGCAGGTGGCAACCGACGGTATCGCGGAACGTGAGCGGCGGGCCGACATTATAACATTAACGGACCGATACGCCGTCTAGATATGGCTAAAACACTTGAAACTATACACCATTGTATCTAAAATTGATCAAGTGATACGACTTTTTAGGGTTCGTGCTGCTACAAAGCATAACCTCAGTATGAGGTTGGAAGTTTGAAAATAGTGCTATTTTCGGGAAAATGTTACCTTTGACCTGGCATAATGGGATCAATCTTTCAACTAGTCAGATACAATTTATTAGCAGTCGCAAAATCTCATTGAGACCAATCCCCTGGTGTTTTCTGCTAAGCTCTATCTGTCTTGTTTAAAATCTGAAAGAGGTTGCAACCGCATCCACCCTATATCGGTCCACGCTATGAAAATTACAAGTCGGGGCGAGGGCTAAGCAAGTTATGCCAGAACATCGAAGCTTTAATGGCCGGGTGGGTCATGGTTTGAAGAGTATTATATTTTTGCAATAACTGACCATACTGTAACGCAGCTCGCAACAACAAGTAGCAGGTTCGTGTAAACACTGTGCTGTCATTGTCATATTTAAGCATGCATGCTGTTCAATCAAGAGAACGCGTGATATCGCCAAAATTTCACCTCCCGTTCCAATGTCCCCAGAGGAAAATGAAAAAAA